GACAAAGCTTCGAGGCTTCTACCTGTCACGTTCAGGAAATTGCCCAGTCGCCTTCCCTTCAGAATCGTAGGGACCCACGAACGCATATTTCTCCTCCTCACTGAATTACACCGATTATGCCAGCCAATAAGAAAACCAATACTTTCATTCTCTTAGACAAAGCTTGCAATCGGTCGCCCCAGGTGGATTGGTGTCGACCGAGGTGGGTATCGATTCAAGAAGCCGTCCTTCGGTCCACAGATAGAGCACCATTCGGCAACACCGCTTTATTTAATCTCAGATAAGTCGTATAACAGGCAGTGTTCAAGTTCTGCTCACCTGATGAATGTAATGAAAGCCATAGGTATGGCCTAACTAACAGAATTGGTCAGCTTCGTAGACCTTTTCAATTTGTTCCAAAACATGGATGTCATCGGGGTCTCTGGATCTTTTAGACGACAATTTCCTCCTCGAAATGTTTTTAATCCTTTAACGCGCCACTAGCAGGAATTTCGTTCGTAAAAACACTTCAGCGAAGGGAACTCATTAGCAAAGGGGGANGGGGGGGGTAGATCGCCAAATTTGTGACCGGTCGGTAGAATCAGAAATCGTTACTGGAGGATACGGTCAAAAGGTTCCGTTTGCGATAAGGACAATCGAATTTTGCAATCCAATGGCCAGTGAGTTCTACCAATAAGGGCTCACCCGTTGGGTTGGAACACAATTCAGTCAAAGTTCACAGCGCTCATTGGGCAGGACGAGAGGTCGCAGTTCAACGGATTCAAGATGATGCTCCTGTCACAGTATCATACAGTAATTATAAGGTCTACCTAAGAACAAAGTGTGAAGTGTTGCTATTTCGATGTCGTTATTTGTCTCTGCGTTGTGAATACTAAATAAAGTCAGGCAAGATCAAGAAATTCCTTTATTTAATTTGTTCGTTTCCATCGCTTTCATCCTTAATATAATGACGGCATACTTTTCAGAAATACAACAACTGAGAAGAAGATTAGTGGTTTTACTTAAGATTAGTTGAATCTGTCAGTCAACTATGAAATGTCTTCATCCTTGAAGGCAATATGACCGGCTTTGGGTACGGAAGAGACTAGTGGAATGTAAGCTTTTTTTGGGTTGTTGGCGTAACTGGTAGACTTCGAGTAAATGGAACTCAACCATTATAACTCCAAAGCTCTGACCCTTTCAGATTTCTTGTTGAGCTTGTTGAAAATAAAGTCATTCACCCCTTGGAACCCTCTACGTCCCTCTGAAAAAAAACTTGAGAACAAACTGATCCCGCGTTTCTGCAAATGTGAAGTCCTTAGTATTCGCGTGCAAAAATACCACCACTGTCCACTTGGGATCCATGGCCAAGGCGAAAACCCAGCTGAGAAATGAAAGAAATGAGCATGAATGCCAATGCGGGTACTGCTCCTACGAAAACGTCAATGCATTATTTGGGATTTGCTCATTTGCTGTGGGAACATTCAGTTCTCAACTTGGGAAGCTGTAGCCATGAGAGCAGAATTTTTAGAAAAATTTCGGGCGGGTTGCTGCTTTGAGAGATTGTTCTGCTATGTGTGCTCAACATGCAAGCAAGTGGATCGAAACTTCTTGGAAAGACCCTTCCAATCGAAATCGAATTGAAAACTTTAAAATCCCGTGATAGGATTACGCTCTTCACCTTTACCCATGGTTTGTCTATGCTGTTTCGAATTCTTTCCCTTATCTCATGATACGGATTTTCGTTTTCACTGTGAGGGAGGAACTACAATGCTCCATGGTCAGAATCTGAACAGAGCATGAAGCACTGTAAGAACGTCTGTTAAGCATCAAAGGGTAATTGATAAAATCCTTTGGTCTCAATTAATCCCCTCAGAGGGATGCAACCCCTCATTCTACTTCGATTCAGAATAGTTGCGGCGCATTAAATGCGTATGCGGCCCATACAATGACTTGCGGTAGCCAGCAGATGGACAAGTCAAAGCTCTTATCCTACTTGACGATTCTGGTACCTACGAACCGACCCCGGAGGGATGGAATGCTTGGTTGGCCTAGGCAGATGTCGATCAGGATACGAACCCGTGACCATCCATGTGTGATAGTGTGCCACTTGCCACTTTATTCTATAGAGCATTGAATAGAGAGAACTGTTTAACTCGCTTCCCGCGTATGTGAGATTTGATCGTAAACCTTACGACTGTGAGATTTCGGTTGAATCTTCCAGAAAAAAGAGACTCCCACACTTTAACCGATTCCCACGTCGACTATCAGAGATCAGCGACTCCTCGCCACGGAGGTGAAAACAGCTAGGTGAAGCAGGTTATGTGATGTGAGTGATCGTTGGACCGGAGCGGTTACGACTGGATCCAACGGGCGGGGAACGAACTCGAAGTCGACCGCCGCGCCATTGTTATTGTTCTTCGCTGGAGGTACCGGTAGGCGGGGAGACCTTCTGGCTTGTTTCATTACTGTCATTCATTACACAGAACAACGAAGTAATGATGTGATGGTTTTGAGACCAGAGCATTGTGAAGGGGGAAGAGGACTCATTCCCTTCGGAACTAGTTGTGAAGAAGAAAACAAGTGAATTAGCTGACCACAAGAAAATGTCAGTCGTTTAGGGGAGTGCAAACGTCAGAATTACACTATCATCTTTGACGTCTCCGAACAGCAGACTCTGCACCATTCATCTGGATATCCGGGTCTCACAGGACAATTGCTCGGTACCAAGATCGTCTCAAAAAAACGAGAGACCGCAAGAAGGATGCGGCATGTGCTTGTTGCAGAACCGTTTTCCTAGATGCTCGTTGATTAAAACTGAAGTGTGACGAAATAATGGCAGAGTCCAGCCATGTCCAGGTACTCCAGTATGTTCTACTGAAGTTAAGGATAAGTAAAGTATCCTCCCCGCGTCTGTGTGGAAAACTCGTGTAGATGAAGTGTGACTAAAGTATGTGTCCTATGACTGACAGCCGAATTCTTTATGAAGAATTTCGATTTGATTCAAGAAGACCTCAAATGCCTCCCTGCTGTGAGCAAATGGGTCATGCGTGAATGACAACGGATTACGGAATGATTTGGTCGTCGCGTTTGATGAGGCAAGACACATCCGGCGGCCGGTTAGTTCATTGTCGCCGTCGTCTTATCGTTATGACCAGTGAGTATTTCAATTATGAATTTAATTCACTTAATAGAATGCACGATCATTGTGGTTGCGACCGCAAAAGGTGGATTTAGGTCACGCGAACGCGCCCTCTATAGGCCATTCACGCGGCTGACAGAGACATCGGGGGGAAGGGGGATGGCTGTGTCTCATCGTCACTTCACTCCCCGTGTTCCAACCGCAATCATCTGCATTTTTTAACTACATTTCTCTTTCGTTTGCCAAATGGTTTTGATGTTATTCGTGGAAATACTACCGCAGTGGCACAAATTTCGAGCGTGTTTTCGCTCTCATTACTCGGGTGACTCCTATCAGTCTCTCGATTTTCTCTTTCGCAATTTCCGATTTGTTCTCTAGGTTTGCGCTTCTAATAAACTTGACAGATTGCTTTCTTTCACTATTCAGTCAGTACGCCAACTCCTCGAGATACCACCAAGGAGGCATGTGCTGCCGAATAGGTTGTTCTCATTGAGTTGTTAAAAGTTGATATCACACAAGCCATCTGCAACATGAATTCCTCGTGAGTAAACCGGAGCGCAGATACTCGTCTCTTCAAAACCGTATAGACGGCATCGTAAAGCCTGACTGTGAAGGCAGGGACGGTTCCGAGGATTCCATCTTGGTTGTAGAAGGCAAAAGGCGGCGCTCAGCCGGTGGCTGGTTAGTTGCTCGATGAACTTTGGCGCATGGAAAGGACATTGAATGCCCTTCGATTTCGCCTAAACCATCGCATCGCCACAACCACCACACCCTCCCTTTACGAGCTCGTCGATTGCTCACCTACAACGAAAGCGACAAGATCTGCTTTCCTGATGACGTTCCTCTGATCCATGGCTTTTTACCTGTCATACAATTATTGTTGTTGCCATTGTAAGAACGCTAACTTTGTCTTTTAAATAAAATTCGATTGCAATAGGCTGGTAGCTTACAAATTCGCAAGCCTTGACCCAGGAGCGTTGGGGCGATAGACTCTGGGAATCAAAAATGGTTTCCGACTCTCAGACAGATGAGTCGTTCGACTGGCTTTAGCGATCCCACTAAGCCACCGGATATTTTTTGGTTCATTCGCGACATCGACTTTAGAGTAATCATGGTCCGACACGCGAATGCTTCTGTTCCGGTTCGGGATCGGGCAATTACGCTGGCACAGGTCACAGTCAGGTGGACAAGGCAAGTGGCTGCCCCTTCAGAACGAGTCTGCAGAATGTTTTGGGTTGTGGTTTCGTCACAAACAACCACACACGAACAGCAACCCGCCAGCTCGGCCATTCGTACCATCTCACCGCGCACCCGATAATGTCTATCTATCAAATGCAGTTGCCATCGAAGGCGTTCAATTTGGTATGAGATTGTGGCATGTCGAAGCAAAATTCTGTTCTTGCATGCAAAACTTAGGCTGTTTCGAATTTAGATGGCTTTTCTGGAACTCGGCAAGACGACTGTACTGAAAGCCGAGGAATTTGCCGGATCAAAATCAGCGTTCATATGGGATCACAACGGTGGGTAATTCATTTCTTTGTGATCGTTTATACAATGCTGCCAAGGGACTGATTGATGCTATTGAATGTTCGTAATGAGATGGGTGGATAGATCGTATCATCTCCGATCGTTCTCTCTCTCGCTCAGACATCTTCATCGAGTACATGGCGATATGGCGCGGTGTTAAAATGATACGTTGAGATTGCACTTGGTATTGAAGATATACGAGGGAAGGAGAGCGGGCGGAAGGCCGGACCTTCTAGAAACTTCGTCACAAATTTTTGTATGAGGCCGACCAATTTCATGTTACTTAAGACACTTAGTTTTCTCAAATTTTGAGGATTGTAAGGTGATTTCAGAGACATCGTTATTTAATTTTACTGTGCCATTTGCCTACCCCAACCTGAAAATATTCACCAATAAGTTGTAAAACCACTGGCTAACAAGATCCGAGAGTTTTGCAGGGGATCTTCTTGCAAAGCAGACCCTCGTCAAGTATTCGCCAACACAAGCGTACTGTGTCTATTCGGACTGTAGCGATGTGGTAGCTGGAAAGAACATCCGCGTCAAAGAGGAAGAAGACGCACACCATTTAAAACTAGTTTCCATTGAGGTAAGAAGGATTGAAGTGGTCTCTACCTGCCCGATTAGAACTCATTTCGAAGAGGGCATTCCCTGACAGACACACGCCGTAAACATTTTTTACTCCCGAGTGGGGGTTCAGACCCATCATAGACTGCATAAGGGATAGGAAAGAAGTAAACGAAGACCTCAAAAGGGCAACATCACTTAATGTAATGTATATAATGTTAGCCCAACCGGTCCTGAACGAGCTTCTGAGCGTAATGCTGTGTAGGATAATGGAAATTCCCTGTAACATTCATGTTTTGTATCATGTGTAGATGAACCGCCCAGTATTGCAGATACCTTGAGGAAGGTCAAAACTCAATTCAGGACCACCAGTCACTATTTCCGGTATCTCCATAAGTACTGGCATGAGAGTGGGAGCATTCCCGGTGACATTGGCAGACCAACTTTTTATAAACCCTTTAGTAGCCGTGCCGAATTGCCAAGATTCGCTCTTCAGAATCGCCGAATCTTTTCACTTTAGACTGAACGGGAAAACCGCCGGCTTCTGCCAATCTACGTGCAGTTCCATACAGTTGCTGAGGCGAGACCAGCTGAAGCACACCTCATTGACCGTCTTTCCGAAAACGCCCTCGGCCGATTCAATCTCGAACTCAAGAAGAACGTCACTCATGATTCATTTGCAGTCAGTTTCTCATATCTGATTTCTATTCTTTTGTATAGTATTTGATTCCTTTTATGATACAGAACGGATCGAATCCTATCCAGATTTTTTGCCAAAAATTCTTTATGCTCTTACGCTGATCAGGGAATAGTTCATTGGGATAGAATCAACTATCCGAATAGGATCGCAGTTAAATTGGACACAGCTGTAGACCGCAATCCTTTGAGAGAGAGAGACAGGCGAACAGTTCGTGTTTCGAAGCAAGTTTCGAGGATCGATAACCGCTCGCCGATGATATTGCGATGTACGTCGTTCGTTGCGGTACGTTGGCGATGATGGTGCCTCTTTCAGGAATCAGATTCCTGGAGGGACGAAGCCGGCTTCATCGTCACTGACCGTAATCGTTTCGCCTATGTGACATTCAGCGCCTCCTCTCTACTCTCATCACTCACCCCTTCCAACGGTAAGTGCCACGAACAAGCCTTAAGCGACGGGGAAGTGATTTGATCCAGCGTTTTCCAAATTAGGAGTCCTTGTTCATGCGAACTTGCCGATTTGCTATTACCTCATATTTGCTTTACAAATAGCGTTCCTTTCTATCCTTTTTATGGACCGCTATTTAATCTGGAATGAAGCCCTATTTTATGGGCCTTATTCTTCATGGCTGAGCATGAAAAGACTGCACACCCTACCCTCGGCTTTAGTTCTATGGTCATATTCAGGCACTTTTTCACGTGGTTCCCTTTGGCGATAAAGGAGGGTTGAATCACACGGACCACCAGGGTGTTGCGTATGGAACTTATCAGTGAAAGCGGAAGAGAGGGCCTCACAGACCACATTATATCGCCCATATTTCCCTTACACGTTTACCGGTCGTGAGAACCCTCCAAGCCTCGAAGGGTAATGGGGAAACATTACGCTTCGAAGCACATGCGCCACCATTTTTACGCGAAACGACGAAGTCGATAGAAGAAGAGAAACATAAATCACTCAAAGGCCATTGCAAAAGGTCATTTCTAATTCTGAGAAGTGGAAGGAGCGGCGAATAATTTGTTGATGAGACGAGACTTCCAAACAATTCAGATACCAAGATAAGCAAATGTACGGCAGCAGATTTGGATGCACTTTGCGATTTCGACCATTCCGTGTGCGGATTCAGTAGAGATGAAGCTGTCCAGGTAAGATGGTCCAATTTATGCTTCTCCTTCGTCCGTCTCACTCTTACTGTTCAGTACGTCGTCGCCAATTCCACGGTGTACGTCGCCAAAGGAGATGGCTCCATAAATGGTATGCTCGCTTGCAGTGGATCCAAGGTATGCCAGTGTTTTCGACTGTCAACCCTCAATCACGTTTGATTTCATCCTAAGGCAGCTCTGCTGGCTATTTCTATGAAATACTTCATCTCAGATCCTATTTGTTGAGCTAAGAAAACATATCTGGCGTTTGCCATTCCGTATCGTTTTGTTCTAGTTGCGCCATGAACTTGATTTCCACTCATGGCGACCGACTGTTACTAGTTTAGCCCACGTTCGTAAGCACAACTTGCAATTACTAGTTAGCACCATTTTTCATTCTGAAGAAGTTAACAATTTGCCCAGGGAACAGAAAGTTCGAGCAGAGAACAACTTTGACTATGAGGCCAGTTAGTCTTAAGCTTATCCGCAAACTCCCACACGTTTGTAACTGCGCCACCGATCTTTTCATTATAGCCACTATCAAATCATGGTTGGATAACTGTAATGCAGTGGGAAATGGCGCATTAGCATGCACGCACGGCGCAAGGATCGAACCCTGGATCGACATATCCCAATCCAGCCTTTCATCATTCTGAAGTTTGGGAGGAGGAAAAGGCTGACTTTCACAGTCATACTCACCCTTCTATTTTCACTAATGATCTCCGCTAGTCGAAGATTTAAGTCGGAGGACGAGGAACAGAACTGATATCCGAACAAAAATTAGACCATTCCCTGGGTTTGATGGGATCGAGTTGAAGTCGTCGTGGTGTGATTATAGGATAAATGGCAGGCTTAGTCGTCTCTACTCTTTTTGGTTCACAACAGCCCTTGTCACCATTATCAGTACTTATCATTTCCTTTCACCCATCGCCATAAAGTCCACATTTCAAGTTTACGATGCCGCTGTTACTACCGTACGCTCATAACACATTACCAATGGTATAGCGATAACACTGGCAAGTCTTAAACGTCTTTGTGATCCTACTTCTTGGAATTCGCTAAGTGTGGAGTGCTATTCGAAATTCATAATTCCTAATTCCCTAGACCTGATCGTTCACTTTTGAAAGAGATACAGGAGGCAATATTGAAGTAGTGATGGTAGTTGATAATAAGTGGTAGTAATTGATACAGATTATAAGGAGCCTTAGGAGGCAAAAAGGAGCAAGATCCGTTACGCCCTTTGTTATTGCAGTGGAACCCTGCCACTTCGATAGGTGATGTGGGGTGCAAAGGAAGGGTAAATGCTTTAGAACAGAGACTGATAACTGCTGAAAGGGCCTAATAAGGCTCAGAGGAGGGTGAGAGGCACTGAGCTGTCCATACCCTCCGTGTTGGTCAGATGAGATTAAGGTTGTCAGAGGATTTCGTAGGCTAAAGCGAGAAGGATAATTCCCGAGTACTTGGGTGAGTTCTCTTCCGCAGATCTTGTGCTTAGAAATAAACCGTTTGCTTCGAAATTGAGGACGAATGGTCAACCGTGCATTGCGATTAGTAATGGAGCTCGAGAAATCAATTTCTTCAGCATTTATCAAACTTGTTCTTAAGATGCTTCCAGCACCCGGCTTTCATTCAGAATCGTGGTGGCTTTTGAGGGCGTACGTGACCTATACAACAGAGCTGCTGGATCCAGCCGATGTACAACTTTATAGGGTAACTGGTACTAGACAAGTTCCCAGTGTAACTCCGATATTATGTGTCTTTTTCAATGTGGTACTCAAAATGTCCCATTAACTTTCTGTGATGGGAAAGAGGAGCGGAACATTTACGAGTCTGGTACCGGTTACCAGTTAACCAACCCCTGCGGGAAGAGGAATTGGGTGGTTGGGTATCGACCAGGCCATCCAAGCCCGATCCCCGGACAATGCTTGCGGTATTGTGTGGCTCATGCCATTACAATTCGCTCATCCCGTATATAACAACAACAAGAATCAACAATAACAAGAGCAAGTAAGTGCCAAGCCGAGCCTCGTGACTCGTTGTCACATTCTGTCTCCTCTTCGCTTAATCCCGTCACAATCCAGGTGCTGAACGCTGAACACAAGAAAAAAAGGGGGGGGGGCTTCACGGTCCATACGAAACTCATAGCATATCCGAAGGTTCTTGCCTTCTATCATTCTTCATCGCTTGTTATCATCTCTTGGCAACAAGTAACTCATTACTCCATTGGCTGCTTTCATAGTCCGCCGGCACGCCGGCCGGCCGACGGACTATGAAAGCAGCCATTGCGTCACCTTCATACCTCCTTCTGAATCGGTCAATGTGTCGCAATCAGTCTACCGTTTTTATTTTCATAATGTCCGAACGTTCATGCTCTCAAAATTTGGACTCCTCATATTAACCTGAGATTAGGAGTCTTCTCCTGGACCAAGTCTCCTGTGATGAGTCTTGCAGCCATTTATACAGCTCCAGAACCCATCCTGGGGCGTATTTCGAATGCCTTCCTTCAAACTAAACCCTTCGGTTCCAATCTTACGAATGGGAACAAAGAAGTTAACGAATTCTCATTCTGTTGCTCAACCTTTGCTCCACTGTTATCCTTCAGGTATTCGCCCTCTACGCGGAGACGATGGAAATTGCACACGCCCTATTGAAACACTGTATTGTTGTCAACAGTCTGAAACAGGTAAGCTGATAGAGGGTTTCGTGGTGATCTTGGCGGACGCCGTCATTCAGGTGTCATTCTTCACGCGTGAGGATGTATGGGAATGCAAACCGATCTCATCTCGACCTGCTCATCGACGTCACACTCGGGCCGTTCCATCGAGTATCAAGTGGACCAAGGTGTGCAAATCGCTCCTTCTACGTTCTCAGAGCACTCTGATATCTTTCCCATTTCAGGTGTACGCCGTCAACATGGGATTCCATATCGTTTAGGGAATTTCAATGGACCAGTCTATTTCACAACAACCAGTAGCGCCTTCGCTAGAATTGATCCCAATTCCAAAAAGCCTTTCATTAATCAGAAATCACATGTCTCCTATTATAAATACCCACTGTTTATGATGAATTTTACGCATTTTACCCAAAGATTGTATTGTAATTACGAAGTTGAGCTGTTATATAAAAGGTAATCATTGAGATGGAACACATTGTCTGAGCATTGCCATGGGCAGTGCAGTCATCGAAAATTTCAAAATATATCTTTCTCACTTCCACACCCTGGATGGAAGCTGTGGGTGGGACATTGCACCTGAAGAGTCTAATTCCTACCCTGCAGTGCGATCAGGGCGAGAGATGATTGCCGTTTGGGTGCATAACCACCCACTCGAGAAAGCTTGCGTTTTTTGACCTGAGCCTTACCATTGGGCTAGTCATTTCTCGATGCAGGGGATGCTTCCCACCTTTACACAATAGCTGGGGATAAACTTCTCCCTGAGAAGGTCAAAAATTCGAAACTATGCCAATGGTAAAGTCTCTCAGTCTCTCATGCAGAAAAAAGGTTNACTACAATTCATGAACATGGGTCGGCCCCTTACCTGATCTCGTGGAGACTGTAACATGTTTCGTGTTTAAAAGCAGCTCCAGCAAATGAAAAATAGAAATCATGTCATAAACCGAATTTTGTTCAATTTCGTCCATACATTCACTTGTGGCCGAGGTGGACAGAGTTGTTTTGAGGTAGACTTCATTCAGGACCCACCCTGATTACCATCATTTCCACAAAAATCCAACAGGCAGATTTATCTGGGTTAGTCTCACCGTCTATGTGTCCTCATGTAGTTCTTGCAACCCACAAAATGGATGAGAACCGAATTAGATTTCCGTTCGATGAAGAATTCTTCAGTCGAATTCGTGTCCATTCGCCGGACACGTGCGCGTTCATTCAAGAAGTTTCCCTTTCACGCCGAACTGCGATAGTCTCTAAACAGTGAGAAAGGAACGGAGAGATGTTGCATTCATTGACGTGAATGAGGATAAAAAGTACGAGAGCCACGAGAATACAGTCATCTAGAATGATGGATGAGTGGGTTTTCTGTCCTTCGACATCATTCTCAACAGCGCTCAGCTGATAAGGAGTCGTGGCCTCTTGTTCCAGTTACTGTACTGTACTGTAGGTGCACTTGAATTTTATTCACCTACCCCAATTCGCCGATGAGAATCGGGGGTCGGTAATAAACGAACAAGCTGACAGATGCTATCCAAATACTTTCATCAGTATTTATGTTATCCTAGTTTTTAAAGATGGGTAGTGGCAAGGGGCTTACTATCTCACACGCACGGTCGCGGGTTCAAATCCCGGGTCGATTCCCGACTAGGGGAACCTAGCTTTCCATCCTTCCGGAGTCGGTTGATTGGTTCCAAACTGGTCTGGAAGGATTAAAGCACTGACTAATACATCGGCTGGCCAGCGCAAGTCATTGTATAGGCCACTTACGCATTCAAAACGCACAACGATTATTAATGGAAGGCGAATGCGTGGCGCATCCTCCAGACGGAATTGATCGATGCTTCAAGACTTCATCAAGACTTTGAGACTTTTATAAAGGTGCTTTTTCTCTGCTCGACAGAACAAGCTATTCTGAGGAAGCTGACTGTTGTACCTACTTCACAAATCCCTACTTGCTGAAATTCGCATATTTTTCTGCAGCTTTCTGCGTGGATACAACTTTTGCAGAGTATTTCTTCTGTTTATAAATGACCAAATGCATCCTTCCTTTGACACTCTTTTCATATTGAATGGCCAGTCACGAAGACATTGCTGGAACCCAGGAAAATGTTGTGCAAAGTGCACTTCAAAATAGGTCAGGCCGACAAAACAACTCTATCAAAGTCAGTTAATCTGACCGAAAGATTCGACTTGAGGAAAGCGATCATTAAATGGACGGGATGGAATGGGCGTATATGCATGACCAACCAAAATGGAATTGTTTGTTAGGAATGTGCTAGGTATCAGTTTGAGGAAAACAAGAAAAAGGAAACTGGTCTCATACCAGAGAGATGAAGTTTGAAAATAATTGAAAAGGTAGAGAAAATTCAGAAGAACTGGTATTATATTGATCACATTGGAATTCTTTCCATCGCTGTTCTGTAGCTCAGTCTTCGGAGGTGGTGCAACGGCGATGTTACTATTACGCATGGTCAGAAAATTGAATCTTGGATCGACATCCGCTGAGGTCAACCGATCTTTCCACCATCTAACAAGGGAAGGATCCCAAGTCGAAGTGGCCATTTGAAATGGGACCTATACTGCTAGACGTATTTTTTGATGCTGATTTTAAAACTGCATTCAAAATC